GTCTTGGATATTGAGATTTTATGTCTTAAAAACCGTTTATGCAAAGCATCTTCCACTGAAGTGGCTCAAAGTAAAATATAAACACTTTGTTTTTTTTATTTTATTTTAAAGACGTCTCTGCTTGATTATCAAGGGCTTCAATAACCCCTTGGTGATGAGTTTTCTGAGAAATAAAAAAAAACTGGATTTGTTGCTTGTGTCATATCAAATTGTTATTTTTTAAGTTACTGGAGCATCACATCAATCACGTCTTGCTGTAAAATTAGCTTTAGCACCCAAACCTGCACTTCCACTAATGTCCACTCGAGGCTGTCTCCAAAAACGAGTCAGTCCTCATTGACGCCCATATTAAAATGATACGAGTCTCTATGGGCTAGCATCCTGTTTATACAAACGCTACAGGTGGTAAACTGTTTATAACTCACGTTTAAAAACTATATTAAGAATTAAAATTAGTCTCATGATTTAAACTCATTTCAAATGCAGTTAAGTGACTAAAAATTCATCTTACTTTGTACTTAACTGCACAAACAGACCTTCCACATCCTAATATTTTATTTATATGCTGCGTCACACTGATGTGCAGGTATCTGTGTGTGTTACTTGGCAAGCTTGCTGGTATTAGCTCATCTCTCTACAGTCTTTGGCCTGTTGGGTGCTTTGAATATCTAAACATTTAAAATATATAATTAAATAAAGCCATACAGTTTATACTACTACATGCAACACGCTGTAAATGTGCACGCCTGCTGTGTGCTGGCATGCGAGCGCCTACAGAGCTGCATCGGTGGGTTACTAACTGTACTGGAAGCATATGGCTGATACTAATGATCATAGGCTGGATAGCGCCATATGCCACTGGGCTGCTTCTTTCATCTGACGGCACCACGAGAGTGGTCGTTTTTAGCACCAGCGGCCCGCGGTGGCGTCCAAACCCATAATGTTGGCAGTGTTAAAGCCGTCGTTACCTTCCTAAACACTAATCTGGACCACGCCGTCCAAACCTGCGTTTATGGATAATGATTATGAGACATAAACTTCAACCATACTTCCAACATCATTGCTACTCTGCATCCTCCTCCCGTAATGTTCAATTAAGCTTTATCTAAATCCCCCAGTGACACCCTGTTTTTTATAGCAACCCACGGCTGTGTGACTCACCGTCTGTAGGAGATAACAGCCATTAATTACAGACACAACAGCATCCTGTTCAATAAGCTCGTGTTGGAACAAGCACTCAGGTTCTTTAACAGGATGAGATATCAAAGACTTTTATTGGTTTGATGCATTTAAATATTTCTTATTTAGACGTTTTAATGTTTCTGTTATTTGATGGAAAGCAGTTGGCACTAAATGTTTGTTCTGGCCTTTTTTCATATTTTCATTTACAAATCTGGAAAGTAAATAATAAATTAAAATATTTTGCTCTGCTTTTACCCAGTGGTCTAATTGTTTTTTACTTAAAAAATAGTTATTTTATGTTATCGTAGAGATATCTTAATGTGATATGAGATTTGTTGTTGCTTTATTTTAATGGAGTCCCTCATAATTTACATTGTTTTGGTGTTTTCAATGCTGTTGTTGAATATTTTCAAAAATATTTTTAATTTGTGTCCTACATTTTTTTAAAATATAAAATTAGTATTATTTTAATTATTATGATGACGATGATGATTATTATTTATCAACGTGTTTGATACGTGTTGTGCTACTTGCTTCATCATTGTAATCACCTGTAAAATAAAATTTGGCTGATCATATTTCATATATTTAATAGGACTAATGCGATTATATATTTTCCTAAATCGCGAAATGTAGTTAAAAAATTATGTGAAATTATTTAAAAACAATTAAAAGTGTTGTAATGTAACTTTTGTGTTGCATTTGTGGTGGAAAATACAACCTTTGATGAATCAGAATTAAGATTAAGTTTGATATTTTATACCAGGTCTTTAATGTATCCCAATAAATCACCACAGAAAAGAAGAATCCAGGAGTTAGAGTTCCTGGAAAGCTACAGTGACAGGTTTTCTTGGGCGTAAAGAACAGAAATGTGATGAATCATCGATCTTCTGCCTGTTTGTCTGCGAGCTGCTGCCTGATCGGGAGCTGAGCAACCAAACTTGGCAGACGGGTACATCGAGCATCCTGAAGGCTCTTATCTCTATCAGATATTATGATGTCATCGCATTGCTTAGCAACCACATACCAACTTGCAAAAACGACATTTTTAATAATTATTATGCATGCACAGTATCGTACAATACCAATCCTGTCATTTTGATTTCACAACAATAACACCTGATTGAAAACTTGAACTTCATCTGTGGAGACGACGTCAGCCTGCCAGCTGAAATGATCTATCATTTTATTTTACTGGAGATTCACCAATTAATCAAAGGGAAGAAAACTAATGTGAAAACTGATTCACTCCAAAATAACATTAACTGTCTTGATTTGTCACCTTGGTCAGCTGTCACAAGTTTCTGGCTTTGTCAACAACGTGAAAAAGTAATCAAAGAATTCAAAAATGAGCGACTGTTACTGAACACTGTCAAAGAGACCAGCAGCAGGCGTCTGCGCCGCTACGTCTCCGCTCACCTTGAACACGAACATCTCCCGTCTGAAGAAGGCCACAGTGTTGAAGTTGCCATCGCAGATGTTGGGTTTGCCGTTTCCAGGCAGTGCGGGCCGGTTACCGGGCGGGTGCGGCGGACGGGAATGCCGGTCGTGCTTGCGCTCGGAGGTCGAATGCGTCCGTCGAGAGGGTAAGGTGGGTAAGGGCCGGGTGGGTTCCAGCATGGCTGTGGGGATGCCTGGAGAATCACGTCAATCACAGCATGAATCAGTCGGGCACCGTGATTGGTTCCAGAGTATCATTAAGAGCACTGAGACTCAAAGACCCACAGCAGCATGAGTCACTGGTCATCAGCTGTGCGAACACGACTTCTTATGTAAGAGCCTGTGAGACAGCATTATGCAGACCGCAGAAACACAACTAGTACATTTGGTTCAATGACTCATTTGTTTTTATGGGCAGAAGGAAAACCTCGGATTATAAATCTGTTTGCTTAAATCGCTGCCTCGCATCGACACGGGAGCGAGACGCCTGAAACAGCAGTGCGGCTCATTCCACCCCATCTCGTTTGTCCACCGTGCGTGTTTTTGTGTCTATTTGTGGTTGTTATGTGTGGTTTTATGTTTCCTTTGTGTCTCTCTGTGTTTGGGCTTTTCTAGTTGCGAGTCTCTTTGTGCTGCTTTGTGACACTTCTGGTGATTTTTTTTGCATCTTCTTATTGTTGTTTTGTGCCAAGCAGCCAAAAATAGATCATTTTAGGCCTCTGCTGTGGTTGCTTTGCTCTCTTTTTCATTTCTTTAGTCTGCATTGTTTGGTGTCCGTCTTATTTTCATTCTTTTCCACTTCCTCTGCCTTTTATTAAAAAACAAACAGAAACTCTTTCTGTTGCAGATCCGTCCATGACAAAGACGCTCAATGTTCCAACAGGAAAAGAAAATCTATTCTCCTTTTTCTAAGCGTACCAACACGAGTCGGTAAATTGCACAGAAACAGTCTCGTTGTAAAATGAACAGTGCGGTGCTGTTGTGGCGGCTGGTGTTGAGAGCAGCACATCCAGCAGGATGAACTTTGAGCAGATAAAATAACAGGCTTTGTTATCCACACTGAACAATGAAGTGCAGCGGAGAAAAACCGCCGACTGCACAGTCCTGGCCGGTATTTCCCTTCAACGCTGACTTCAAATGTCACCTGTGTATCACGACCTTTAATGTGAGGCTCAGTTGTTCTGAGGGCCGAGATAACCTTCTTGCTTTGATTATTAAAGGAAACCAAAGCAAAGAAAAAGAGAAGCGTGATGAAAAAAGCTGCAGATACAGTAGATTTCAGCTACTTGGGTGTTTTGTGAGAGATGGTGCAGATAGAAATGTTCTTATCTTTAACAGAGCAGACGTGTTTCTTTTCCCTGCCTTTTCTTTGTGTCTCTGCATCACAAATAAATGTTACACTACATTACAACAGAAGCTGTCGTGATTACTTCAGCGCAGACAGAAAGCCTGTCAGGAAACGCGCCTGCCGCTGACAGGCCTTCGCTTTTCTTTGTTTACTTAGAAACGTTCAGTGAAACGCGAGGCTTTGCGCCTTTTCTGAAATGCAACACAGCGTCTCTGGTGTAAACACAAAGGGAAAGACTCGCGTTTTCTTTCCAGGCAAAGACGGCTCAGGTCTGCTTATCAGCCGGGCTCTTCTTCACGTTCGAGCTCCGCTGCCGGCCGACGGACGCCGAACACTCCTGCAGCTGCACTCGGGGCTTTTTCAATTAATATTTCATATTCAAATTTTACTGGTTTTTGTTTTAGCGTGAAGTCACCTGTTCAACCAGTCAGAGGCAGAAAAGAGTCAAAACATCACGTTTTTCATTTAACGCAGGCAAATTTCTTCAAATGAAAATGTGCAGTGACTTAAAAGATCCCTCGTTTCAAAGTGAAGAGCTCTAATATGAGCTTCATATATTTTCCTCTTTGCTATAAAATACACACTCTGTCCCAGAGAAGGCGTTTGCACAGCACAGACTCAGGATTGACCATGCATCTATAACGTCAGCATCTTCCTTCTGCTTAAGGCATGCAGGCTTTTCATAAAATGAAATCATAAAAAGTTTAATTATAAAAAGTTTATGAAGCTCATCCTCCTGAAACGTGTCGTAAACCTTTTATTCACCGCAGAGGTTATTTCCTGCGACGATCCAAAACCCTGCGAGAAGCCGCTGGCTGTTTAGAGGAGATGCTGACGTTCAGGTTGCTCATGCTCTGTCCTGTGCGTTCTTGCTCAAGGACACGTCGGCAGGGTCAGAGATCAAACACACAATTAGCCACAGCTTCATGCTCAACAAAGATTGTAACCATGATTATTTTGTTCAACGGTGATATTTTTAACTTTACTTTTCAAACACTGTCCATCAAATATTCCATGAAACTCGTATTTATTGCTCCTCACCGACTCTTTGACATTAAACTGATTCCAAACTGCTGCAGGCTGAAGTGTGTAGGAGGATAAACTGGAGCGCCGCAAAGAAAAGAACGAAACGAGAGCGCTCGAGTTTACATTTCGATTCACTGCGCGGTCCTTCTGCTTTTATCTTCACACAATATTTGTGTATTTTGCGTCATCCTGACCCAAAATTGTCGGCGTCAGTACACCGTAAACAAAATGATGTCCTCAGCTGGATACAAAACAGACATCTATGAGAGGAAAGTCTCTTCATTTTTTTCAATAATTTGGAATAAGTGCCTTTAATTCAAATTCGATTTTCTTGGCTTTTATTTTGACATTTGTTGAGTTCTACTTCCTGTCTATGTGCTATTAAAAAAGGGAATTGTCTAAAATCAAACCTGGATGGATATTTGGGGGATTTTACTTGTTTCTCACACTTGGAGACAAAAGTGACGTCAATGTTTGTTGAATCGTCTGAAAAGCTGAAATAAAGAAGTGACTGAAAATCTTTTGTTCTTCAACTAAAAGGACAAAAACCCAAACTAACGATGTTTCTTTAGACAAATGACTGACTTAAACCCATTCACTCAAGCACCGTTTCTTAAGGACCTTCTCGCTGACATTGACACAAACTTGGCGGTCAGTATCTCGCTCAAGGAGAGCCAGGAATCAAACCACCAACCTTCCGATTAGTAGACGATCTGCTCCACCTCCCGAGCTACAGCCTACACAGAACTAAACCCGAGAGCTCACCGTAGATCTTCTGAATGCCCTGCAGGTCGTCCAGCGGCAGCTTGAAGTTGTGCGTGTCCATGTACTGGTAGAAAGGAGCCATGATGGCACTGGGATCGTTGGAGTGCTCCAAACCCAACGCGTGCCCCAACTCGTGCACCGCCACCAGGAACAAATCGTTACCTGGAAAAAGAGGAAGATGATTAGAGGGGAGAGGCGACAAAGAGGAGGAGGAGGAAAAAATGATGAGATTAGAGAACGCAAAGCAGAGAAACAGCATCGCTTTCAACATCACTCACAGCGCCTTAAAAGCTTATTTCAGAAATCAGGTGATAAAACAGAAAACAGGAGCATCTCTGTGCTGCCTGCAGGCCGTCGCTGCCGGTTCATTAAAAGAGAATCAGTTTACTGAGAAAGCCTCAACATCTCCCTCCTGTCTGAATCAGAACAAAGCCTCCCCAGTGTAAACAGCAAAGACCAAAGACGGCGTCAAAGGCGCCGGCAAAGTGAGCTAAAGTTAGCCTGTGATGTGTTGACTCATCAGCTGTGTAATATGAATCTCACATCAAAAGCAGAATTGGCGGCGAATGGAAGCGACTGTCAGGCTGGTGAATCCAAAGCTCCTGTTTCTAAAGTCCACTTCTTCAAAGGCTGCTGCTTGACGGGGATTACTTCAGAGCGCGCCGTACTGTTTGCCTGCAAAATTCACAGAGTTCACAGTCTCACAGAAAGCGACTTTAAATTCATAATCTGCACATGTATAAATAATGTACGGCTGCTTTCGAGACTAAAATACGCTGGAGAACAAGCAAACATGTTGAATTTGGAGCTGGAAGCCATCAGAGTGGAGATGCTCCGCAGTCAGGCTGTTTCATTAATGCTCCTGTGATGACGGGAACGCTGCATGTTTGCTGTGGCACAATGGGCAGTAATATACAGCACTGGATCATCTGCATATAAACTAGTTACAGTGAGATGAAAATGTGAAAACAATCCATGTTCATGCGCACAATTAATGCTCCGCGACATGTTAGAAACCTTATGTGAGTGGATCAAAACTCTGCTTTTTTAATTTGTCCCATTGTGTAGATTTATTTAGTATCTTTTGGTCATAATTAGTTGTCAGTTTGTGTCACTGTTGGTCATTTCAGGCTGTTTCTGGCCTTTTTTTATTCCCTTTTTTTATTCCCTTTGCATCTTTTACAGCCGTGTTGTCCTCCTGTCATTTCTAAAACTCTCCTTGTGGGTGTTACACATTTTCTATGTAACTGCTTTTCATGAGTCAGGTGCTAATTAGTCATTACGTGGCCGTTTCACACCTGGGTAGTTGTTTTGGACTTCTTAGTTATCATTAGTTGTGTTACTTTTGGCCATTTTGTGCAGTTTTATGGTCGTTTCACGTAGAACAGTTTATGCACCACAGCAGAACCAGGTGTGGTGCATCCTCACAAAGTCTGCTCAACAATTCATCAGAGCTCACATATGCAGACGTAAATAAACAGGATTTTATTCAGATTAAGTACCTGAGGTCCAGGAAGTCTTTGGAAAAAACTGAAGGATGTGATCGAAGAACAAGCTGAGGTTCTGGAAAAAACAGACTTTTCAATAGTTTTCAATTAAATTCAATGGTTTCAATTTTCCAATTAAAGCACCTGATAGCAGCCAGAACAACAGCTCCAGTTCTACAGTTCACGCTGTTACGTGTGCTCTTATCACAACTTATCAAAAGTAAAATTACGAAGGAGAACAGAAGGTCTTCTTTTCCCGGACGTCGTGTAATCATGTGGGGTCTTTATTACAGCCAGACTCTGAGCAGAGATCCAGAGCTGCTGTCATGTGTTTAATGACTTCTTACTGTCTGAATGCGAAGCTCAAATTAATACTTTCCCTCAGCTTTGTAATTGGTTTGACTCCGTTTGAACCAAATTACACAACATAATTATCTTTTTCCTTTACCGAGGCCACTCTGTTTGAAGATTATAGCCTCGGTGGCCTGCGCCTGACTTACAGACTAATGGAGATGGAAATGAGCAGACGCCGGCGACCGTTTGTGTCAATCCTTTTATTCATTTTCAGTTCCTCTTCCAACTCGACTCATTGTTTCCTGTCTCGTTTGTTCTATTCAGGAGAAATGATTTTTACTGACCTATACACTCATCAGCATGTCTCCTAAAGTTTAAAACCAGTCATTTTAGAGTCAGTAACGGGTAAAGGGCTTCCTCTACAACTTGTTTTATTTTTTAGAAAAGACTGAAGTGATGTCAGTGTGAAATTTCTGTGTTTCCTGTTGAAGTTTAACGGGGTCCAGTTATATATTTTTATTTCCTGGCAAGTTGCTGTGTTTAACTGAATCCAGTGGTTCTATACAAACTTGCACTAACAGCAGCACAGCATTATGGAGAAACAGCCAATCACCCCGTCCACCTCTGGCAGCCATTACAGCGTTTCCTGTTTGACTGAAGAGGAAAACAAACCCTGAATCTCAATTAGAAAACGTGCAGCATTTTCTAAAGAAAACCCAGACGTGGCTGAGGACACACTCAGCGACGTATTCACAGATTTTAGCTGGAAGGACCAATATTAGTACGTGCTATTTCTGACAGGCCGACAGAAAAGTCATGATCAAGGATGAGAAGAATTAATTTATGTGAGGACACATTTCTCTGACAGAAACACGATCACGACTCGAAAGCAGGGAAACTTTCCTGAACTGGCATGCAAGACTTTAGACAGTGAGATATGAAATGAACATAATCCAGTGAAGTTGAAAACGCCAAAGCAACAGCAAGAAAAGCAACAGAGTGGCTCACTAATGATGACGACGTGCCTGCACATCATCCCTGGTTTGAATTTCGATTTAGTGCAAGAAGTCAGAGAGATAACTTCTTCAATTCCCAGGAAACACGCCGCATGTAGGTCAAGAAAAACAATGCGATGGTTGCATCAACTCAGACGTCCTTAAAGCTGTACGGTGCATCAGATTAGTGCAGGAAAGTCGCGCAACATGGAAGTGAAATGAAAACACTTTTATCATGAAAATCAGAGAATAATCATGACGAATGAAAGTGATCTTAATACTGAAAAATCATTGTAGCCATAGTCAGAGTCACTCGTGGGGCTGAGAGGATAATTCCAGAAGGACAGTTCCCGGCTTTCTCCAAAACTGAGTCCATCTTTATACAAGTGTTAGACCTGCGATTAAAGCAGTGGTTCTCAAAGTGTGTGGAGTTCTGACAGGTGGAGGTGCGCCCCAAAACAGATTTCCAAAAGCACAGGGGAAGTGTTTCTGGGGAAACAATAACCCGACGGACCAGTTGCAGGAACCAAAACATGCTAGGTAAGTGTGATAGGCTAATAGCTAGGCTAACACACCTCTCATGTTTTCTTTCCTCACAAAACCGATAGATCCTCCACTTCTTTTAAGTGTCTCTCGGCGCAATTCTTAGCATATTTTGGTTCCTACAACTGGTCCGTCGGGTTATTGTCTCCCCAGAAACACTTCCCTTGTGTTTTGGTAAATCTGTTTTTTCCTATTTCCGTTGTGTTTTTGTGCGTTTGCGGCGTTTTTCTTATTGCTGGTGTTTTCTTAAGTTGCAGTCCGTTTGGCCTCGAAGGGCCACCGTAGTTTATTATTGATATAAAGTTGCAGTTCGGCTTTTCTGTCATTGTTTCGTTTAGAAAATGAAAATATTTCTTCCTGCCATGTGGGGAATGATGTAAAAAGTTTGAGAACCACTGGATTAAAGGAACATTGCATGTTTGCTGTGGCCGCTGAGCAGAATGGGCAGTGAAATACAGAACTACATCATCTGCATAGAAACATACAAAACAGTGAGATACAGATTTGACTATTTTATGTTCCAGTGAGAAATGTGAACACTGCATGAATGCTTTAATTTTTGCACCCAGGTTTAAGAAGTACGTGTGGCTACAGAGTAAGGTTGTTACAATATTGGCTTAATCTTCATGCCTCCTGCTGCCGTTACTCTGTATTGTGTTCTTTTATTCACTTTCTCACACCTTCACAGATTCTGGCTCTTCTGTCCTTGTGTGCTGCAGTTTCTTTCATCCCTCTCCTCCTCTCCCTCTTTTTTTATCTCCCCCTCTCTCACCACTGCTTTCCTTTTCATCCTCCTCCTCCTCCCGCATCCCTCCAGCAGCTTTTATCTCCCCTCTCTTTCTTCCACTTTGCAGGAAAGATTAAGATGATTTCAGAGCACAAGACGTACACTTCATGTACAACGGCTTGAGGGAATCCCCCTGCGGTCGCTCTCCATTTCTCTGCCCGTCCCCTCGTGGTCAGTCTGCCTTCCCGCGGTGAGGATAACGACTTCTTCTATCACGCTTGCCCCTGCAGTCGTCTGTTCGCCTGTGATAAAGACGATGTTTGATATGTCTGTGATGAAACCTGTTTCTCAAGTAGTCCCAGTCTGATGTGTCCACAGAGCCTGCTTTGTTAAACTGGAACCCGTCGAAATGAGTTCATCTTATACCAGCGATCAAAATTACTCGCCAAGAATATTTTTTCCTGTCTGGCAAAAATCATTAACACACTGCACATTTTTCATAAAAACACAATTTATCAATGTTCCCAACTTCTGTCTAGAAATAAAGTCCTTTTTGAAATAGTCTTACAATTAGAAGAAGACAGATTTATTTAACCCTCGAGTCATCGCCTATACAATCAAGTCTGTAAATCGTAAAAATGGAAGAACATGTCCTCCCCTCGACTCGAGACAGAAACATTAACTGTTGCGTTGGTTAAGCTTTGAAAGCAGAGAGAGCTGCCGTACCTTCTCAGAATCAGCAGATATATTTAATGAAACAATGTAACGTTTTAGCTTCATGCAGGAGAAACTGTTACAGTTACAGAACCTCAAAGTTCTTTTCACCTCATTTTTTCCGTCTGTTCTGAGCCATCATAAAAAAGCGGAGATGTCCACATGAGATTTTCAGGGCTGAATAACGTTAAGCTACGTTTTTCAATTCAAACTCATTTTTAATGCACCAAGAGTCCAAAGAAAAAGTCTGCTTTTCTTCTTCAGAATGACTTTTCTGTGACCAGCTTTGAGCACCAGTATCACAGGACATATCCCAGTTTCAATAACATGTACCAGTTTAACATCTATGATGTAGAGCAGGGGTATCCAACTCCAGGCCTCGAGGGCCGGTGTCCTGCAGGT